GAACGATGAGGCTAATTATATATATCTGCTCGCGTCTTGTGTTAACCATGAACAAGACTTGCTCGACAACAGAATGAGCTCAGATCATTGTGAACATTCTTATATCTGTTGCCGTTGTTGTTTTAAGTCTTAAACGTGGACAAAAACTCATACCCATAGAGTGGTACAAGGAGAGGGAGGCGTGGTTGGAGCCCCTGGCGTAATTTTTGAAAGTCTGGGAATACAGCTTCCGGTCGGATTGCCTACAAGGAATTAGTAACCTTTTCTTATCGAATTTTTCGGAAGGTCGGTTTTTTGGGGGATATCTTTTGTACGGTTAGGTTAAATATGAACCAGATATGTACCGATCCAACTTAATAAAATCGTGGCGCATGTGAAATCACATAAGGTACAAAAAGTCATTTATTTTGTGCGAATTTATTTTGTTTTATTTCTAGCAAAATTTCAAAGAGTGTGTCTGAGTTCTTAGCAGTCAAAGACAGCTATATAGTCTTTCTGTTCCTATAAAATGGCACTATGGGCAGCTAGATTGAGATCCCATAGGTTCATTCCCTAGGACATACCGGCATAGCTAAGTTACTGTTTTTGAGTGCTCCTAATTTCATAGACAGCTATATAGTCTTTCTGTTCCTATAAAATGGCACTATGGGCAGCTAGATTGAGATCCCATAGGTTCATTCCCTAAGACATACCGGCATAGCTAAGTTACTGTTTTTGAGTGCTCCTAATTTCATACCAGAAGTTGCAATTTTTAATATTAACTAAAAATCCCGAATTTTATCGCTTTTTCGGAGATGGTTATTTTGAGAAAGGTTTGGTAATTTGTCGTTGCTGTACTATAACGAAATATTTCATCTACGTTACCTCTTGAAGCGATCCCGGCGTGGTGGCAAACTTGTAAATCATCACAGCTGGAATGCAGGCGATTGAGGACAGAGCCATGATCCATCCGATAGCCTGACCCCAGCCTGGGTACTCATAGCCATCGTATTTCAGAGCTGAATAAGTCACCAGACTGAAAATGAAGACGCCCTATTGAGGTAGAAAAGGTATGCTATCAACTAAGTCACACTTCAGAAAGAGGACCTCCCAGCGATCTTTGAGAACAATGGGGCATGGTAATATTTCCAAGGGAGTAAGAGATGTGAATATTTGGCTAGTTCTGCAGGTGGGTAAGATGAACTAAATCCTAGCCTGTACTGTACTCCCGAGCGGGTAAGATGGTGCTGCAAAGTGAGCTGCCTTTCCCGTTTGGGATTGCCACGGTGTCCTGTATCACGTCTAATAATAGATCCTCTATTTTTTCCCCTTTATGGGTTAGGGAGAGGGAGTGGAGCTGGTTATTAACCTCGACTGCGTCCGCTGGGTCCGTGAACGCGCAAAACATTTCTGGGCCACTATCCAGCCATTTTGACCGAACACTGAAGTCCGGACAATGACCCACATGTGTTGGATGAACAGGGAACAACTTAATTTTCTAACGGATGCAAATTATAAGAAACATTTGTGACGGGGGGGACTCTCAGAAATCGAAACAAAATACGTCAAAATAATCTCCACAGGCCAATCACAAACGCAAAAAAAACACGCAACAAAGGCGTTAGAAACCTAGAGATGCGAGTAGTTAAAGTCGATTGGCTTTGTTTTGCGGCTGAATAGTTCAAGGTTTGGCGTGATTGAAGCCAAGCCAAAGTTGCTCGAGAAACTTCTGTGCATGGATTCAACTGTCAATGATGATGATTTGTAAAGAAACTATTACGAAGCTGTATAACTGCATTTTTAAAATCAACTTACCAAGCAGAATAAAGGCGTGAGAAACTTCCAACACCACCTGATCCAGGGATTGATACGAAACCCAAGCATATTTTCCATATCGCCATAGAAACGTTCTCCGCCTACATATTAAAACAAAAACATCATGCTAAGGCAGGTTGTTACTTGCGTCGATAGAATGACGTATTGTAGACTTTAAAAGGTCGAAAGGCGTGCTAAAAGTGTTTGAAAATTAGAAAAAAAAGGCGGCCATTAAGAGTTTTGTATTCTCGCAGCGTTCCTAATCATACATTCCAAGATGGCGTCCTAACAGATAAAACCCAAAATTCAAAATGGCTGTTGCGTGCAAACGAAAATGGTTTTGCGCATGACTGCAAACATAACTTTATTTATAACAGACGAGAGTTCATTTAAAGGAGACCAATCACGGTATTTTGAGTTATTCTGGCCACGTACAAAATTACCTTTACGTTGAAGGAAACCTGAAAATAGTATTTTACTAGGATTGAAAAACATCAAAGAGATAATAAAACACAAAAGGAAAAGTGATGGTTAAGGATGGAGAAGATTAACACGGATTACAAACCATAAACTTGAAAAATTTAGGCTAAATGTTTCAAAATATGAAAACCGTGATGTAACTCTTTTAAGAACCTATTTTTATGTCTATTAAATTCTTACCATATATCCACCCAATGGCAATACTTTGGAAGAGTGATACCCATAGCAGGGCAGAACCGCTGGCCGAATAGGTGTCAAATAGTTGAAAGACGAACATGCCACCCTGAACAAAGGAAATACTCCAAAAAATTAATCGAAACTGTTATAAGTCTGACAAGTGATAGTCAGTTTTTAGCAGACATAACGGAGTCTCTGAATTTGTTGACGGAAGATCGTGCTGTGATAAGAAACAAAAAAACTTCAAATGAGTTCCAATTAAATTTGACTTGCGTTGGTAAAACTCAGCCTTCATGTCAGAAATCAATAAAAATACAAGTGAATCTGCTTAAAGGTTAGATGATCTGCAACCTTGTGTTTATAGGACCCACTGTCAATGACCAAACAAATATCATTAATATTTACTCTCACGGATTTACAAAAAGTTGGTCATCAAGCAGTAGGGTATGACCGTGCCATATCGAAAAGTTGCTGCTGTGACCCACCTTAACTCTTGGCTCAAATTGACTAACCCCCTGGGGTACTCCTAGAAAAATTGGGTGGGGGTGTGCGGCCCGCTCCCCAAAACCCTTACCCTATTTATGACCAAAATCTGTGATATTCCCTACCGTATTTATGACCTGACCAAAAATTCGAAACCCTATTTATGACCTGACCCTTAAATCAAAACCCTGTTTCAGACCTGCGTTATAATTAGTTCCCTATTTCAGACCAATGTTAAATTACCGTAAACATAATTTGTGAAGGGCTTTTGTTGCTTTTCTTTCCGATAATGATGAAAAAGTGGCTTCTTCTTAAAAACACACCCATATCAAGGCTAGAGCGCAAAAACCATACCCTATTTATGACCACAATGGCCAAAATCAGCTTAAATAGATACCCTATTTATGACCAAAACGGCATAAAAACCATACTCTTTGGGACCGCACATACCTATATAGCCCATAGAAGGGAGTACACCCACCCTGGAACTAACCCGTCCCTCATTGAGCATTGCATATTTTATGAGTCAACCTAGGTATGTTTTAAGATCCCTCTTAGCCGTGTCATGCAAAAGCTCGTGGACGTGATCCGAAATACTATCTGTGGACAGCTCTTACACAAACATCATATTACTCTGGGTTGGTGAGAACTTAGAACTTTTAAATGTTTACGTATAGGCAGTCCTCTCTTACGCTGTGATAAAGATATTCCTGTATTGTTGTCATTTTCATGTTATTGGCAGTTACCTCGGTGACCATAGACAATCCAAAAAGGAACCAGATTATGCACATGAAACCAATAAACATCTCTTTACGATAACCACGCCTCAAATGATTGGGAAACAGATCCACAATGGCTGTCACGAAACCTTCAACGCCCACAAACTTGAAAGAATAAAGATAATATCATGTTTAAATTTAAATGCTTCTCTTGGTAAAAAACGATTCACTTACTGTAATCATGATTTTTTAATTAGTAAGTTTGAAAAGCTGCGAAACGGATTTACGATCAAACTCGGAGATCAAACATGTTCCAGTATGGTACGCAAAACTTTATTTTGCAAAGTAATAGGCCAATTTTGAGATATTAAAATTCTAATCTGGCACTGAGGTTTATGGGAATAAAGTAAAAGTAACGGCATCGAGAATAGGCTATGAATAACTGACTTATTTTGTTTCATTCCACTAAGCCCATGAGCCAAGTTAGAATTTTTATACATCGAAACTAGGCTATTGGAAAACTTAAATAGCCAAACATCAGTGGTGTTGCCAGTAGATGAATTGTGCCTTTAACAACTTTCTGCAACTGGTTAGAAAATCATATTTTTATTAATCGACACGGGGGTGCTAACAATACTGCAACTACAAATTGCTAGTCTACTGTTGTGTAACTATTAAGATTAACGAGCGTTTTGTCGCGAGGGCAATTATGAAAGCGTAATCAACACTTTAAAGGGTGCGTTCCTTTGGGGTGATCAGGATGAGGATCAGTGATCCAAGATCTGTCTGGATCATGGTGCATCAAAGGAACCAGTGAATCCACTCTGGTCACGAATTCATCGATTCCTTTGATGCACCATGATCCAGACAGATCTTGGATCACTGATCCTGATCCAGATCACCCCAAAGGAACCCACCCTAAGGTCCCCTAAGTCACCTAGCTCTGTTTTGTTTGTTTGTTTGTTTGTTTGACTGATCTTTCTTGCACTAAGGTTTCATAAAAACGCATTCATACTAACGATAGAACTTAACATGGAGCCTAATCGTGTAGTATCTAATGGCGTTAGAAAACTCAGGAATGACATGGGGAGGGGCCGGCAAATCAGAGTAGACCCTCCGTCTAAGGCCCCGTCCACACGTATCCGGATATTTGAATCCGCAACTTTTTCTTTCCGGATACGGCTTCCGTCCACACGCATCCGGCGAATTCGGTAGCGAATCCGGATATTTTTGCTACGTGTGGACGGGAAAATTTCTGAATCCGGAAAGAAAAAGTTGCGGATTTAAAAATATCCGGATACGGGTGGACGGGGCCTACAAGTACCCTTCCGGGAATAGCTCATTTCTTAGTGGTCTTAAGCCTCTCTATCAAAGCGAGGCCTGGCGCACAATCATTCATTTGAAAATGAGATTAATCAGCATGTGAATGAAATCTCATTTTCATGATACTATCAAAGGCACGAAGACTCGCTTTGAGATACAGGTTAAAGGTATTGTTTTTGTACCTCACTGTCAAGTCCCAATAAGAAGACCATGAAGAAAAACAGAACAGACCAGAGTGGAGCTACGGGCATCTGAGCTACTGCTTCTGGGTAAGCCACGAAGGCAAGCCCTGGACCTGTGTGAACGTACATTGAAGGTTGGTTGTGTTGAGGAAACAACGTGAGTGGAATAACGCAAGCTACATATTTAAATTGGAATTAATTTACTTGTTAGTTATTTTATCGATAATCTATTCTGCATGTTCTACTTTTTAATCGGCACGGGACAACTTGTATGTGATTATTTTTCACATCCTATATTTCCAGCTATTGTCATGGAAAATTGTCTTTTAACACATGAATACAGTCACTAATGCAAGGGGAACCAGGAGCTCTCCGATTTTGCCTTTAGGGGGCGCTCTGCTCTAATAATATTCCCTGAAAACGCTGTAAATAACACAGTCGTGGTGTTTGTTGTCGATGTTTTTGTTATTGTCACTGTTGTTATTATTATTATTATTGTTGTTGTTGTTGTTGTTGCTGTTGTTGTCGTTGATAATGAAGATGGCATCAACTTTGACCCTTACAGCCCTTTTTCTTACCTCCTTTAGCTACATCTCCCACCTCTACTCCTTGCTTCTGTGCCATGAAGCCTAGCACCGAGAAAATGACAAACCCGCCATAGAAACTTGTCCCACTGTTTACACAAGCGAATATTATGCTATCCCTGAGACGCAAGCAGAAGCACGAGTTGCTATAGTTACATGATCCGGTGGAAGAGAAGGAGGGATAAAACAGGGCAATGACTGTGTACATCATGTAAGCATTTACTTGACTATATGTTTGTCTCCAACTTATTCTGTAGCACCCGCTGAGAAAAGAGAAGGCGAAATTGTATGATATGGAATTTTAGGGGGAGGTGAAGAGGAAAGCATATACGTGTTTGAAAATAA